TTCCCAGAGAGATTGACTCATATCACCAATGTGTTTTTCCCCCAACACGGCTTTGAGAAAAGAATTCATGAAGTTCTTTTACCTGTCCTGAGAAATGATGATTAAAATAATTAGTTTAAAACCAAACCCACTGCCATCGAGTTAATTCCTACTCATAGCAACTCTAGAGGATACCAACCCTGTAGAACTGCCCCATAAGATTTCCAAGGCTGTAAATCTGCCTCATCTTTTTCCCACTGAGTGGCAGGTAAGTTTGAACCATTGAACTTTTGGTTTGTAGCCAAATGCCTAACCCACTGTGCCACCAGAGCTCCTTGTTATTGTTAGGTGCCGTCAAGTTGGCTCCATCTCATAGCAACCCAATGTACAACAGAATGAAACACTACCCAGTCGGGCACCAGCCCCACAATCCTTGCTATGCCCAAACCCATCATTGAAGCCACTGTGTCAATCCATCTTACTGAGGGCCTTCCAATTTTTCACTGACCTGCTTTACCAAGCATGATATACCTTCCCCAGGGAATAGTCCCTTCTGACAACATGACCAAAGTAGGTGAGACAAAGTCTGGCCATTCTCGTTTCCAAGCGGCATTCCGGCTGCACTTTTTCTAGGACAGATCTGTTAGTTCTTCTGGTAGTCCATGGTACTTTCAGCATTCTTCGCCAACATCACAACTCAAAAGCATCAACTCTTCTTCAGTCTTCCTTATTCACTGTCCAGCTTTCACATGCATATGAAGTTACTGAAAATATCATGGCTTGGGTCAGGCACACCTTAGTCTTCATAGAGGCATTTTTGCTCTTCAGCACTTTGAAGAGGTCTTTTGCAGCAGATTTGCCCAGTGCAATACATCGTCTGATTTCTTGACTGCTCCTTCCACTGATGATGATTGTGAAACCAAATAAAAGGGAATCTTTGACAACTTCAATTTTTTCTCCAGGAAAGACCGAGGCTGCTTACTGATCCGGTTGTGAGAATTTTCATTTTCTTTATGTTGAGGTGTAATCCATATTTGAAAACTGTAGTCTTGCTCTTCATCAGTAAGTGCTTTAAATCGTCTTCACTTTCAGCAAGCAAGGTTGTATTGTCGGCATATCATAGGTGGTTTGAGTCTTACTCAAATCCCGATGCCATGTTCTTCTTCATATAGTCTAGCTTCTCAGATTATTTGTTCGGCATACAGATTGAATAAGTATGAAGAAAGAATAAAACCCTGATGCACTCCCATCTTGACTTTAAACCATGCAGTATCCCCTTCTTGTGTTTGAACAACAGCCTCCTGGTCCATGTACAGGTTCCACAAGAGCACAATTAAACTGTTCTGAAATTCCCATTCTTCTAAATGTTATTTGTAATTTGTTATGATCCACACAATCAAATGCTTTTGCACAGTCAATAAAACATAAGTAAACATCTTTCCAGTGTTCTTTGCTCTTAGGCAAGATCCACCTGATATCAGCAATGACATTTTCCCTTCCACATCCTCTTCTGAATCCGGCTGGCATTTCTGAAGTTCCCTGACAATATACTGCTGCAACCATTTTTGAATTATCTTCAGCAAGATTTTACTTTCGTGTGATGTTAATGATATTGTTCAATAGTCTCCACAATTCTATGGGATTCACCTTTCTTTGGAATGGGTACAAATATGGAGCGCCTTAGTATCCACTAGGAAGCTTTATCTCCCTGCATAAAAAGCCACCACCATGTTCACTAGACACTCTAAGAGGTACAAAGTTACATGAAATGCTTTTCCTTAGAACTTTCCTTGGATTACAGACTTCCAATAAAGTATGGCTGATGAAGCAGGAAGATTTTAAGTAAATATTTTTCATTCAAAAAACTTGACTGCTGTCAAGTTGATTCCAACTAATAGTGACCCTGCAGGACAGAGTAGAATTTCCTCATAGGGATTCCAAGGCTGTAAATCTTTATGGAATCCCCTGGGGAGCAGCTGCTGGGTTGGAACCATCAATCTTTCAGTTAGTAGCCAAATACTTTAACCATTGTACCACATCAGGGCTCCTTAAAAATAGAATAGATAGTTCTAATATTAAAATGTTTTCTAGTATGTCAGAAATTAATTCAGTGGTTCTGGTATTTTCTATGCACCAAAGCAAAAAAAACAAACTCACTGACATTGAGTCAATTTGACTGATAGTGACCCCTCCTTGGGTTGCAGAGGCAGTATCACTACGGAAGTAGATTGTCTAACTTTCCTTCCAAGGAGTGGCTGGTGGGTTTGAACCGCCAGCCTTCTGGTTAGCAGTCAGGTGCCTTAGGCACTATGCTACCAGAGCTCCTAACACTAAAATTCTCTAAACATGATGGCAGTGAAAACGAACATTAAGACAAACAGGAATGCAGATGATCAGCCAATCCTCAGTTTCCAGAATGTTTATTACTGCCCTCTTCCACATTCTGGAATTATCACTTCAAATGACCAACATGAGTGGGTGTAGGGAGTTACTACAAGAGCTTTTCTTATCCCAAAGGAAAAAGCAAAAAGGTAACAGGTCAGGTTAGCTTTACGAAGTCTTTAGTCACTGACTACACCTTATTTCACAATAACTGAGATGGGCAAACACCCTCCCAGAAATCAAATATAATTGTTCCAACTTATCAGAGGAAATGAGAAAGGAAATGAGTAAAATAAAATGAGGTTTTGGGGTTCAAAATCTGGGAAAGTTTTATGTTATATAGGAAAGCTATCAGAGTAAGATAGATAACTGTATAATGGAGCTAAAATAAAAATAAAATCTAAGTCAACAATTTTTAGACTATACACTGCACTTCCAGGTCACTGCCTAGGTATGCCCTAACTTCAATACTAAAGAATGCTCCTTGATTTTATGAAGAGCACTACAAAGAAAAGAGAAAGCCTCATACATTTTGGACTCTATTCTAGACTAGTAGATGGCCATAAAAGAAGAAATACCTGTTTTCTTTGTTTCCCTCAGGTACACATCAAACCATAAGTTAACCTCTCAAAAAAAAAAGATATATAACTTTTAGAAGACTTATATTCTGTCATCTTCTGTAATTGATACTTTTTTCTCCTTCAAATACTGATCACTTGCTCATGTAGCTTTCTTTCATGAAATTTTATATTGGATAGCGTGATAGAATAACAAATTCAACTTCAAAATATCATCATATTTAAATTCAACCTAATAATTGTATAACTGGGAAGGAGGAATATGGTCCTTGCTCTAAAGATACAAGAGACTTATCTGAAAATGTTAATACAAAGCAGAAGATAATAACAACTTTTGAAAAGAGGTAGTATACTTCAAGAGCACAAAGAAGAAAATGTATGTCATCTGAAAAGTAGAAAGTGAATCCAGAAGAAAATATTCCCTCTTTAAGGACCCTTAATTACAGAGCTTCACCACTGCACTGAGCCATCTTTCTACCTCAAAACTGGACATAACTTTCCAACTAAGACACCTTTTTTTGTTTTGTTAAATAAAGAAAGAAACCAAACAGTTAAGGTTTGGTCAATCACAGCTAGCCTATTTTGTCCTCCCTGGACACAAAATTTTACTTAAAGTAAAATTTGTATACTGTTCCTACAGAGCTACAAATATCAAAGTCATCAGCCTGCAAACCACCACAAACTGAATGAAACTACTGGTATGAAAAAACATTTGTTTCCAGATTTTTAGTAAGTTAACACCAACAGGTAATAAAATGTAACTTCTTGAGACATTTTTTATGTTTGAAGACAGAAAGATGTAGTAATAAATAAGGAAAATAAACCTGAAAAACTTAAAGCCAGCTTTGTTGAAAACCAAGCGGCCACTTGCCAACACTTCTTTACACACAAACGACCAAAGATGATTCTAGGCAGACTCACAGCCACAAAGGCTCTTTATCAAATTCCAAATTAAGAAAGTTCTCATAAATACTTCCATTTTGATAAGTTAAAGGCCAGTTAAATAAACGAAGCACTTTATAAAGCTTTGCAGAATCAATATGGAAACAAAGCTTTACGGTTTTAACATCTCTTTCCTAAAAAACAGCATACATTTCAAATGTCATAGTTACAAACAGCCTATTCACAGGCACCTAAAGCTTAGATTTCGTCAAGAAAACACCAACCACAGTAAAGGGCTTAGTTTAAAATCCCCATATGGGCAATAGGGAAAAAAAGTCACACAATTCTGAACTGCAGCTGACAAAACTACAACCACCCTAAATCGAACTTTGTCTTAGTTTGAACTCCACACACAAGCATTTCAGATTTGTACGTTCAAGTCCCTCTAAATGGGGTCTTTTGTGAATTAAAAGGCAATAAGGATACTTCCCAAACTCCTATACCCCATGATCCATCCTCAAAGAGTGGAAGGAACAGCAAAGTGGAAGGAACAAAGCACTGACGTCAATTACGAGATTAACCCCGTGCAAAGGCAGCTGGAGGAAAAGCCTAAGCATCAACATCCAAATATAAGCTAGGGGATAACTAGCTAACCGACCTATTCAAAAGTTGTGGGGGGGTATTCAAGTATTATACCCCCATTCCCATTTTTAGTCAACCCTCTTCGCTAGTCAAAGGCGGAAAATTTTTCCGTTTTTTTTTTTGCAAAGGAGGGGAGGGGTAGTGGGGAGGTGCGCAGGATCGCGAGAAGGAAAGCGAGAACTAGTTGGGTAATGATAGCCAGAATCTGGGCCTATTTTCTCTGTAACTGGAATTAATTTGAGATTGAGGAGGAAATTTAAAAGTAACGAATCAGTAGATCGGATCTCTGAGAGAATGAATGGATTAAGAAACGAAAAGGGGAAGGAGAAACACGGAAAAGATGGATTTATGCAATTTCTGTTAGGGTTAGGTTAGCCTCACCACCCTCCCCCCCAATTTATTTTTTTCCTTTTTTGTGGGGCAGAGAAGTGGAACGCGAAGATGAAAGATGAAGCCAGGTTAAGAAGCCCTAGCCGAGAGAGTTTTCCCGAGAACCCTGCTGGTACACTCTTTCCCTCACGGCCAGGCCCGTCTCACCTCCAGTCCCGGCTCCGCTAGGCCTGAACCATTTCCCGGCTGCGGCAGCGGCGACGCCGGGCCTGCACCTTCACCAGACGCGCATTCGAGCTTGCCCAGGGGGCGGCGACGACCTGCCAAAGGCGAGGAGCTCCGGACGCTGGCGGGGGTGGGGAGGCCTCAGAAAGCGACGGCGGCGATGGCAAGAGCGGTGGCGACGCACCTCACGCAGAACAGGAGGAGATCCCGCCCCGATCCATGACAGTCGGGCCGGGCCTGGACAGCAGACAGAGGCGGCAGGGGCAGGTTGGCGAGGACCTGGCACCGGGATCCCCGCCCCGTCCGCTGGCAGCCGCGGACCGACTCTCCCAGCCGGGACTGTGACTGACGCAGCGGCCGCGCCACCCATGTGACCAGGGCCGGGCCGGCGGGGGCGGGGCGTCATGTGACGCCGCCGCGCCGCTCCCTTCTGGGAGAGCAAGGTACTGGCGGGGCGCGTAGGGCCGTGAGCTGGTACACGCGCTGAGGGCGGTGATGTGCCCGGTAGTCCTGTCCCGCGACCCTGGACAGGCGGAGAACTGGTCAAGATGATGTCGGCCAGAGCCTCTGGGCACGGCGGCCAGGCTGGGCAGGGCGGGCCAGGCAGGACCAGGCTTGCAAGTCCCAGCGTGCACACCCTCCTGAGCGTAGCCCGCTAGTGTGTAGTGTGATTCGGAAGGGCGAGGTCGGGCCGAGCCAGATCTACCAGTTTTGGGGCTCAGGTGAATGGGGCCAGGCCATCTCGGCGTCGTGGGCAACGCCAAGGTAGCCGTACTAGAAGCCTCCCCGGGGCCACCCGAACTCTGAAGATCCGCTAGGCCTGATGCCCTGTGCTGATGTTGGAGCCCAGAGCCCAGCGGTCCCTCACAAAGCTGAAGATGAAAGGGAACTTGTGCTGCTTAGAAGCACGCTTGAATTTACTCTTATCTATCTCATAAAGCCAAGCTAGCCCCCATCCTGCGTCATCTAAACATTTTCCATCACTAATACATTCCTTGATTTGTTAATGTTCTGCAAGTCAGAGCGAGCCATACTTTGAGTAGAAAGATTAGACAGGATTTTCAAAGGATCTCATAAAACCTAGTATACTAAACATCCACAGAGACCACCTCTAGTTCATCATTTGAGTAACACTTTTCTGTAACCTCCTGCCTCATACCTGTTTTCTTTCAATGAAGGAGCTTCATGAAGCTACTTTTTTATTTCCTATTAGCTAATTTTGAAGCAAATATTTTTAAATTCCGTTTTTAATAAAATTTGAGAGTTTTGAGGAGCTGTGTAGTAGACTATCTTAACAGAAGGAACTCTGGTGAAACAGTGATTAAAGTGCCTGCCTACTGAGCGAAAGGTAAGCGGTTCAGACACACCAGAAGCTCCTGGGGTGGGGGGGGGTTGGGAGAAGGCTTCCATAAAGATTACAGTCCTTGGAACCAACAGCAGTTCTGCTCTGTCCTGTGGAGTCTCTATGAATCAGAATGACTCCAAGACATTGGGTGGATCTTAAAAAGTGTGCATATGAAAGTGTTTTTATCGGTCCCCAAAGCTAGTAGTTCATCAGTTTTAATGTTGTTAGGTGCCATTAAGTCAGCTCAGACTCATAGTGATCCTGTGTACAATAGAACACAACACTGCCCAGTCCTGACCAATCCTCAAATTCTTGAACCCATCTTTGCAGCCACTGTGTCAACCCATCTCCTTAGGTACCTTCCCCTTTTTTTGCTGACCTTCTACTTTACCAAGCATGATACCTTCTCCAGGAAATGGTCCCTTCTGACACCATGATCAAAGTAGGTGAGACAAGTCTGGCCATTCTCTCATCTAAGGAGTATTCTGGCTGCACTTCTTCTGGGACAGATTTCTTTCTTCTTCTGGCAGTCCACAGTATTTTCAGTTTTCTCTTTTTTTTAATTGTGATTTGGGTGAAGATTTACAGAGCACATTCACTTTCCATAAAACAGTTCACATACACTTTGTCTCATAACATTGACCACAGTTTACCACAATGCAACAGCTCCCCTCCTACTTCCTGCCCATAGTTACCCCTTCCCAGTGTCCATCCCTCCATACTCTCCTGCCCCCTGAGCTGTCTCCCTGTGCATAAGCAGCCCTT